GTCCCTTTCCGTTTTCTATTTTATGTACATCCAATTTGAAAAATCTCTAATAAAATTTTAAAAAAGAAAAACATTTTCATAGATGATGGACAGGATATAAAATAGATGACTACATGTAAGCATTGACTATTAGCAATTATTAAAGTAGGCTACCTAAACAGTCCTATTACCCCGCCAACCATCTCCCCAATGGGACTCGGGGCGGCTTACAAGGGACAAACCCAAAAATTACAATACATTCTGAAGGGAATGCAAGAGAAGTGCAACAATCAAGTAGGCGGGCCTGGAAATATTGTCATCAAAAGTATTGAGGTAGATAATAAGAGGCCCAATGTAAAGTGCTGAACTTAAAGTAGGGACAGGAAAATTACTGGTGGACTACTTAATCAAAAGCACACTGGAACATCCAGGTTTTTAGTTGTCTCCGGAAAGAGGACAAAGTGGGAGCCTGTCTGATCTCCCTAGGGAGGGAGTTCCAGAGCCAGGGTGCCACCACCGAGAAGGCCCTCTCCCTCGTCCCCATCAACCATGTTTGAGACAGGGTGTTGAGGGGGAGAGAGCAGTACCTCCCCGGATGATCTCAAGGTACGCACAGATTCATAGGGGAAGATGCGATCGCGGAGATAGCAGGTCCCGATGGTAGCTGTGGTTATGTGGTTGCCGTTAATGGTGATCACAGGGCCCCCAAAGATGCATCCCCTGTGACATTCCACTGCTCCTTGCTCCGCTGGCCAGAAGTGAGGTCAAAGATCCCCTAACAGCCTAACTGGAAGTCCCGGAACTAGATGCTCTGTGCCGTTCTGTTGTTTGACCTATAGACCTCAGGCAGAGTGTCTATACTACACTACAGCAAATGTTTCATCCTTGGCTCCTGCACCTGGCCATGTAGGAGTCGAGGATGAAATGTCTTTGGCATGTGGCCCCATACTTCTCTGTATGCGGCCATATGTGGCCACGTGTCATCAAAAATGGTGAAGTGTGTCAGTGCTGACATGCATGTCATAGGTTCACCATCATGGTCCTAGATGGTTCATAAGGAGAGATAGGGGCTGATGTTCTCTTGCGTGCTTGTGGAGGGGTGTACCTTCCCATTTCCAGCTGAAAAATCACAACTGCAAACGATGTCTGTGTTTCTCATAGTGAAGTGGGAGTTAGGGAAGGGCTCCTGTTGCACACACCCTTTGATAGTGAATGGCTCAGAGTTTAGTTTTACCAGCTCAGACCCCCTAAAGAAACGGAGTACTGCAAATACTAACAGGGTATTGGAAAGTTTTATCTGTTTTCTGTGCATCAATATGCATACTTTAATTGTATGGTAATTGCCTTTGGTACTTTTTGACTACAGTGTTCATTGCGATTACATGAAAATGAATAAATGTGCCTCCTTTCGATGCCAACTTAAATAATTCTTATTTTTGCCCTGATAATAATTTTATGTATTTTTTGCTGGTTTAATAATTATGTTGCCTCTTATTTTCAATGTTTTTATAGTTATAATGCATTGGGAAGGGGATTAAATTATGTTATGTAAACTGCCCTAGGATCTGTTATGAAAAGTGGCTTACACAAATTCAAAATCTAATTTTTAAAATGTGGTTTATGTCTCTTTATGTGTGCATTATGTGTCATAAATCTGTGTATTTTACTGCTGTCATTGACTTAAACCCATTAGTATTCCCAATAGCGATTGACATACTAAATCAATTGCTGAATGTTGAATTAACATATATGCAGATCCTATTGGTAGAACAGATTTGCTCTAGTTGGGTCTACAAATAAGATTCAGACCCATGTCTGCCTTAATGATGTTTGCTAAAAGTTAATGAATTTCTAATACAATCATGTCTTCCTCCTTTCCTGTCTATAATTGGTAATGGAGGGGTTATTTTTCTCATCTGCGTTCTCAAGAGAGGATTGAGAGAGGAAATATTCACTACTGTAGATTATTTATCTGTCAAATTGGGCTGTTATCTCTCTTCCCTTTCTGACACGAAAAAGAATGTCATACTCTCTGTGGTCAAGAACATAGTGTTTGTCAAGAGATGCTGTGTCCAAACTCTAAAAGAAAGATTAAGAGATACTGGGGACTGCCCATGGTCGAAAACATATTGTTATCTATGTAAAAACCAGAGGAAAGATCCATATATCTGCACCTTTCTTCAGAAGCAGGATCCTAATCATCTGTCAACACAGGAATCCGTTTCACCCAAATTGTAGTGTGCTTGAAAAGCATTAAGCATGAAATGAAATAACAAGTGGAGTTCCGCAGTGTGGAGTTGGGAAATTGAATTTAATCAGACAATTTGTGAATATTGCATTTAAAATGTGTGTGTGTCTCATGCCAGACTATTGAGCATTCCATTAAAGTGGCAGCACTGGAAGCTATGCAGATTTGTTAACTATCAGAAGCACTGGAGATTTGCACTGTCAGTTTTACATTGGGTTTAATAGCTGGCTGCCCTTTGCAATTTGAATGTAAGAGCTGGACGTATATGTTTTCTTTTAAAAAAAAAACACTAATAAATATAGGTAGAGGTGAATGACTGGTTCAAATATAATAAAGCCTCTGTTTAATGGTTTTTAAAATATGCAATATAATATGTTATCCATGTTACTGATGCATTTTGGTCAGAATTTGGTAATCCAGCTAAAGTTTAGCACCTCTAAACCTCTTCCTTCCTAGGTATTTTAAGGGGTGCATGTAATAATAATAATAATAATAATAATAATAATGCACTTTATTTATATTATTTTTATTCCCCTCTATTTATTTATTCATTCATTTGCTACATTTATATGTCGCTCTTCTCACCCTGAAGGGGACTCAGAGGCTTACAAGATATATATACATACAATATATTATATAATAATAATAATAATAATAATAACAACACTTTATTTGTACCCCACTACCATCTCCCCAAGGGACTCGGTGTGGCTTACATGAGGCCGAGTCCAAACACAACAATACTAGCAATAATCACAAACAATACAAGCAATTAAAATAAAACATAAACATATAACATTATCAATAAGACAACATACAATTAAAACTATGGGAAGGCCAAATGTAAAATTAAAATTGGAAATAGTGCTGAACATGGACGAACAGGTGATAGTGGCGTTTGTGGAGAGACATACGAGCAGACCTAAAAAATGTAAAGTGCTTTGGAGGGACAAAGTGCTATGGGATCGTGAATCCGGGAACGCACACTGGAACAACCATGTCTTCAAGCTCCTTCTGAAAACTGCCAGGGTTGGGGCCTACCTGATGTCCTTAGGGAGTGAGTTCCAGAGGCGAGGGGCCACCACCGAAAAGGCCCTCTATATTATTAGCATAGTACATAGTACCTATATTATTAGCATAGTACAATATCAGTATTATATATTACTTTGTTGTACTATACCATTATATTGTAATATTATTAGTAATATTACATGTAATATAAATATATATAATTATAATAGCATAGTATCTCTCCGGAGTGACTCAGATTACAGTTTACATACATAAGGTAAACATTCAATGCCTTTTTCAACAGTAAACAATGATATATTCAGCTAGTCCAGCGCGCGGCAGCAATGTTACTAACGGGAGCGGGACGCAGGGAGCACACAACGCCCTTGTTGTCCCAGCTCCACTGGCTGCCGATCTGCTACCGGGCCCAATTTAAGGTGCTGGTGTTATCCTACAAAGCCCTAAACGGTTCCGGCCCAAAATACCTTTCGGACCGCATCTTGGCCTATGAGCCCACGAGGGCCTTGAGATCGTCTGGGGAGGCCCTTCTCTCGATCCCGCCTGCCTCACAGGCACGTCTGGCGGGGACGAGAGAGAGGGCCTTCTCAGTGGTGGCCCCCCAGCTGTGGAACACCCTCCCTGTTGACATCAGACAGGCGCCCTCCCTTATGGCTTTCCGCAAGAGCCTAAAGACCTGGCTATTCGAGAAGGCATTTAATTGAGAGCTACACGAATCTGGTAATGACAACAGGAACGGATTATGGATTATGAGATTGGCTATGATTCTATGTTGTGACGGTGCGGATTTGTTAGTGTGATTTAGTTTAATGTGTAATATGGTTGTGTTGATATATTGTGTGCCTTTGTAAACTGTTTTTATATGTTGTACACCGCCGCGAGTCGCCCCAGGGCTGAGAGCGGCGGTCAACAAATGCAGTAAATAAATAATAAATAAATATACAATACACAGACAGAGGTAAAGGCCTTCCCTTCCATCTTTGGCGTCTGGAGGCAATTCTCAGCTTGGCCATGGAAGGAGCTCTTGTTCCATTTTTCCATGCCGATGAGCCTGTTGTCCATAGACTTCGCCAATCAAGTCTGTATGGAGCAACCTTTTTATCGCCCCGCCAAGGCGGTACTTGCTTTACATGCTTTCAAACTGCTAGGTAGGCAGAAGCTAGGGCTGGCAGCCAGGAGCTCACTCAACTCATGGCTGGCGGTCAGCAGATTTCCTGCAGCTAGCAATTTAACCCGCTGAGTTACCCTTTTGAGCCATGTGGTGCAGTAGTTTGATTGCTGGTCTGGAGACCAAGGCTCATGCAATGAAAATCCACTGGCTAACCTTAGTCAAGTTCTCAACCTCAGAAAAAGGCACAGGCAACCCACTTCTGAACAAACAAAGCCCAATGATAAGACCCCCTTAGAGTCACCATACATTCGAAACAACCTGAAGGCACGTAGCATAACACACGTGTTCGGTTTAGTTAATTTTCCATCAGAAAAAATCAAGACTTAGAAAAATTTAACTTTAATTGAGACATATATATTTTAGTTATTTAAGCTCAGCTTCTTTAAATACTTTGATTCCATTACACAAGCCTTCTCTCAAAAAGGAACTTGTTAAGGTTTTAGCACAGTGTTGTCAAAAGAAGTTTTAATTAAGATGTTATTTGAGATGGCCAAGTCATTTCCAATGTCTAGTTGAATTTTTATTCTAAAAAGATTATATTTAAAACTGGTGATTTTTCTTTTTTCATTTCAGTTACTGCAATGGATGCATGCTGGATCCAGTGTGTGGCTTTTGCTACAAACTAAACAAGTCGAGTGTTGTGGAGTCCTCCTGTGTTGCTATTAGTAAGAACTCTACAATGGAAGCTGCCTGGGGCAGGTGGGTTGCTTTTGTGTTTTTTCATGTTCTAAAAAGACCCTAACAGATTTTTTTAATGAAAAGTGCTGCTGTTACATAAGTCTTTAAATTGTGGTTTGCCGTACTACTAATTATGTGTATTGGGGGTCCTCTCCAGTCAAAACTCCTCTCCTTGGGTCTTCATTTTGTCCCTCTGTAGCAAAATAAAACACAGTAGGATGAAATAATTTATGAGTCCACACTCCAAGCTGTAACAGCTATTGTGCTCAAACTAAGTAGTGATTTTGTTATTTTAAAAAAGTGCTGGTGATAAAATTTGTGAGGTGAGGAAAAAAACATACATAATTAGAGAGCACAATAGATAGAATGGTGGATTTGTGCGTTTCTAACACAATTTATACCAAGTAACAATCTAGAAGATCCGCTGATATTGTATTTGAAGATGTTATTTTAAAAGGTTGCCTGTAAAAATTATTTTGACTAAAATCATTTAAAGATACAAAACAGATATTAAAACCAACCTGAACACAGTGTATTATTTGAGAACACAGAAATGCTCTACCACTCTAACAACGGGATACGGGACAGAGACTGTGCTGGTCTCCATCACGGATCAGCTTCGATGCCAGCTTGACCAGGGCGGGTCAGTTCTGCTTGTGTTATTGGATCTAACAGCAGCATTTGACACAGTCGACCACAACCTTTTGACCCACCACCTCGCTGTTGCTGGAGTCAGGGGGACAGCTTTAAACTGGCTGTCCTCCTTTCTTCACAACCGTGGACAGCGAGTGGAGAGGGGAGGCCTGGTCTCTGAGAGGTCCCCTCTATCTTGTGGGGTTCCTCAGGGGGCCATTCCCTCCCCTCTGTTGTTTAACATCTATATGCGACCACTTGCTCAGCTGGTTCGAGGTTTTGGGCTTGAGTGTTATCAGTACACCGATGACACTCAGCTGGTGCCGACCGGACTCTGTACCCGATTATTTTCATCAGTGCCTCGAGGCTGTTACTGGATGGCTGCGTGCCAGTGGGTTGAGGGTGAATCCAGCAAAGACGGAGATCCTATGGCTGGGTTGACCAGGCAGTGGGGACATCCAGCTGCCTACCCTGGATGGCGAGGCGCTTTGCCCGTCATCATTGGTAAAGAGTCTGGGAGTCCTTTTGGACCCTCTGCTGACGATGGAGGCCCAGGTCTCCGCCGTTAGCAGAACCGCCTTTTTTCATCTTCTGCAGGCTAAATGGCTGGCCCCCTACCTGTCCAGGGACGACCTAGCTACGGTGATCCAGGCCACGGTCATCTCAAGACTGTACTACTGTAACGCCCTCTACATTGGCCTTCCTCTGTCGGTGATCCGGAAGCTCAAATTGGTACAAAATGCAGCTGCTTGGCTTCTTGCGGGAATTCCGATGAGATGCCACATAACACCAATCTTACTACAGCTGCATTGGTTACCAATTGAGCACCAGATCACTTTCAAAGTGATGGTACTCACCTTTAAGGCCTTGTATAGTCTGGGGCCAATGTACCTGAGGGACCGCCTCGCTTCCTACCAACCCCAGAGATCCCTCCGTTCTGAGGACCAAGATCTATTGGAAATTCCCAGTGTCAAGACCTTGCGTCTCACAGCAACCAGATGCAGAGCCTTCATAGCAGTGGCGCCATCACTGTTGGGTCTTGCTTGAGTTTTTTGCCAAACTGCCAAAATAACCAAGAAAACCAACACCCTGATTAAGAACTCCTCCATAAACTTTGACATACGACAACAGCTATGTAAATCGGAAGCCCATCCACCCAGGCTTTATGGACTCCCAAAAATCCATAAGGACTCCACCCCACTCAGACCCATCGTGAGTGCCATTGGATCCCCCACATACGACCTAGCAAAATTTCTTGCTGCACAGTTACAAAGCCATATTGGGCTCACTACACACTACATCAAGGACTCAGCCCACTTCGTAGAAAAAATCAGCAATCTCAAGCTAAATACAAACGACAAACTGATCAGCTTCGATGTGGTATCTCTATTTACCATGGTCCCGGTAGCAGACACCATGGCACTCATCAACCAGAGGTTCCCAGAAGACATCACGGCTCTGTTTCACCATTGCCATACCACCAGTTACTTTCAGTGGGACAATGAATTCTACGAACAGAAAGATGGAGTAGCTATGGGGAGCCCTCTCAGCCCGGTCATAGCTAACTTCTACATGGAACACTTTGAAAAACAAGCCCTGGAGACAGGAACCAAAAGCCCACGATATGGTTCAGATATGTGGATGACACCTTCACCATTTGGAGCCATGGAGAAGAAGAACTCAACAGGTTCCTGGACCATCTTAACAGCATCCACCCAAACATCCAGTTCACCATGGAAAAAGAAAATGAAGGAAGACTGCCTTTTCTAGATGTCCTAGTCATCCGCAAACCAGATCAACAATTGGGTCACACCGTCTACAGAAAACCCACACACAGATAGATATCTACATAAAATCTCCAACCATCACCCAAGTCAAAAAAGAAGCACCATTAAAGCCTTGGCAGACCGTGCAAAAAGAATCTGCGAACCCCACCTCCTCCAAGATGAACTGAACCACCTCAACTGGGCTCTCCAGGCCAATGGATACTCCACCTCAGACATCAGAAGAGCTGCAAGACCAAGAACAAACCACAAGAGTCAAGATGAAGATCCACCCAGAGGAAAAGTGTTCCTGCCATACATCAAGGGAACCACTGATCGCATAGGGAAGCTGATGAGGAAACACAACATACAAACAATCTACAAACCCACCAAGAAAATCCAACAAATGCTACGTTCAGCAAAGGACAAGAGGGATCCTCTCACCTCTGCAGGAGTCTACCGTATACCATGCAGCTGTGGACAAGTCTACATAGGGACCACCAAACGCAGCGCCCAGACACGCATCAAGGAACATGAAAGGCACTGCAGACTACTTCAACCAGAGAAGTCAGCCATAGCAGAGCACCTGATGAACCAGCCTGGACACAGCATGTTATTTGAGAACACAGAAATGCTGGACCACACCAACAACCACCATGTCAGACTACACAGAGAAGCCATTGAAATCCACAAGCATGTGGACAATTTCAACAGAAAGGAAGAGACCATGAAAATGAACAAAATCTGGCTACCAGTATAAAAAACTCTAAAATTATAACAGCTAAACAACAGAGAGGAAAAAACCAGGCACAGATTAACACCTCCCAGCACAGATTTTCCCAGGCTCAGGCAGGCCTTCAAATGCTAATGAAGGTGATCAGCTAAACATTCACACCTAACTGCAGCAGGGAAGAGCTCCTTGCCCCACCCCAGCCATTCCACAGATATATAAACCCATTTTTCCTACTTCCAACAGACCTCACTACCTCTGAGGATGCTTGCCATAGATGCAGGCGAAACGTCAGGAGAAATGCCTCTAGAACATGGCTCTATAGCCCGAAAAAACCCACAAGAACCTAGTGATCCAGTAAATGGCATAAGACATATCTGTTTCGACAGGTTTTTAATGTTTGATATTGTTGTTTTTAAATTGTTTTTAAATTGTGTTAGATTTTAACCATTCTTGTAAGCTCCTCCGAGCCCCAGGGGAGTGGCAGCATATAAGTTCGAATAATAAATAAACTAACCAGGTCAGACTACACAGAGAAGCCATTGAAATCCACAAGCATGTGGACAAATTCAACAGAAAGAAGGAAACAAGGGAAATTAACAAAATCTGGCTACCAGTATTAAAATCTCTAAAACCAGTACAGTAAATAAAGAGCAACACTCAAAAAACAGGGGAATTCCAGACAAGAATAAATCAGGACCAGCTAACACCTGCCAACAAAGGATCCCCCCAGGCAGCAGGCAACCAGAGTTTGAAGCTACAAAACCATTAAGTGCTAATCAATTACTGTTCAAGCAGGGAGTTTTGAGATGGTTGAACAGAAGCTCTCCGAAGCTCTAGGTGCTCTTAGTGCCTACTACAGGGAAAACCAGCTGATCCCTAATCCATCTAAAACACAGACATGTGCTTTTCACCTTAAGAACAGACAAGCATCCCGAGCTCTGAGGATTACCTGGGAAGGAATCCCACTGGAACATTGCAGCACACCCAAATACCTGGGAGTCACTCTGGACTGTGCCCTGACCTACAAGAAGCACTGCCTTAATATCAAGCAAAAAGTGGGTGCTAGAAACAATATCATACGAAAGCTGACTGGCACAACCTGGGGATCACAACCAGATACAGTGAAGACATCTGCCCTTGCGCCGTGCTACTCTGCTGCTGAGTATGCATGCCCAGTGTGGAACACATTTCACCACACTAAAACAGTGGATGTGGCTCTTAATGAGACATGTTGCATTATCACGGGGTGTCTGCGCCCTACACCACTGGAGAAATTACACTGTCTAGCTGGTATTGCACCACCTGACATCTGCCGGGAAGTAGCAGCCAATAGTGAAAGGACCAAGGCAGTGACATCTCCAACTCATCCCCTGTTTGGGTATCAGCCAGCACGTCAATTACTTAAATCAAGAAATAGTTTTCTAAAATCTACAGAGACACTCGCTGGAACACCCCAGCTGTTGTGCTTTTGATTAGAAAGTCCCTCATCTCAATAGATGAACTTCCTCTGTTTCGGGCTATTTTCTACAGTTATCAACTAACTGTTTCATTGTCAATTTACAGGAAATGAGGCTTTGATTATTAGCTTTCTTCCAATATTTGACAGAGTGCTTCTTTCTTCACAAGAAACTATTGGAGGATATTCATCAGCAATGCCATGGTCACACTTAGCAGAAATAATTAAAGGCAGGTTTTTGTACTTAACATTCCAAAAGATCTTGTTTGAACATAATTTATTTACAACTCAATGATCTCGGCTGTAGGGATATGAATTTCTCATAAAGTGCTATATGGGAGGAAAAACTTCCTCAGTGCTAAAGACCTTTCTGTGGAATTAACTTCTCTATTTTTTATAATTCTTAGTTGTCCCCTGCCACATGTTGCTGTGGCCC